AAGAGGAGAAGGAAAAGGAGGAGGATGAGGATGAGGAGGAGAAGGAGAAGGAGGAGGACGACGATAAGCAGGAGGAGGGTGATGCTGAGGAGGAGGAGGAGGAGGAGGAGGAGGTGGAGGAGGAGGAGGACCAGAGCAGGAGCAGGAACAGGCGGCTGAGCAGGAGCAGGAGTGCGACGGGGGATGGGGAAGACGTGGAGGAGGAGGAGAGAGGAGGAGGAGGAGGAGGGGGAGGAGGAGCAGGAGGAGGAGGAGGCGGAGGAGGAGGAGGAAGAAGAGGATAATCAGGAAGAGGAGGATGAGGAGGAGGGGGAGGAGGAGGAGGAATAATAGTTACCAGAAGAGGAGGATGAGGAGGAGGGGGATCCGCCGCCGCCGCCGGCTTGCATCGTCGTCGTCGCGTCGCCATGATCGTGATCGTGGTGGTGGTCGTCGTCGTCTAGGTAGTCGTCGTCGTCGTCGGCTTGGTTGTCGTTTTGGTCGTCGCCTTGGTCGTCGTCGTCGTCGTCTTCGTCGTGGCCGTAGTCGCCGTCGTCGTCGCCTTGGTCGTCGTCGTCGTCATGGTCGTCGCCGTTGTTTGCGTCGTCGTCGGCGTCGTCGTCGCCGGCCGTGCTGGAGAGATGGGGGAATTCAGCACAACAGGCCAGTTTTGTGCGTAATTTCCCCGTGCACCCCTGCCCGTGGACATACCTGTAAGTTTCTAGCGGCGTTATGCCGCATCGGGGTGCGTCCTCGGAGAGTCGCGTGAACACGCGAACGCCAACTCGCATGAATCGGCGAATCTGTGGGTGATTGAACGTCGATGTTTGCGTCAATATTCGAAACTACGTGGGGGACACGTGTAAACGTGCAACATCGTGGGCAACTGCGTGTAACTAGGTGTAGCTAGGTGTAGCTCGGTGTAACTTGGGGTAACTAGGTAACTAGGTGCAACTTGGTGTATCTAGTTTTAGGTGTAACTACTTGTAGCGAGATGCGGCTACGTGCAACTACGTGCAACTAGGTGTAACTAAGTGTAAGTAGGTGCAGCTAGGTGTAACTCAGTGTAACTTCGTGTAAGTTGGTGTAGCCGCGGTCGCCGCTGCCCCTCTAAGGGCGACGCTACTTGTCGGCGCGCTGTATACGTATGTACACATGTATTTAGGTAGGTAGGTAGGTCGATAGGTATGTGTGCAGGTATATCGGTAGGTAGGTGGGTAGGTCGGTATGTCGGCAGGTAGGCATGTATGTCTGTCTGTCTGTCTTTCTGTCTGTCTGTCTGTATGTATGTATGTATGCACGCATGCATGCATGCATGCATGCACGCATGCATGCATGTATATTTGTATACCGATAGGTAGGTAGGCAGGTAGGTAGGTAGGCATGAATGTGTTTATGCATCTCTGCATGCATGTATGCATGCATGTGTGTATGTTTGTATGTTGCATGTATATATGCATGTATGTATGTATGTATGTATGTATGTATGTATGTATGTATGTATGTATGTATGTATGTATGTATGTATGTATGTATGTATGTATGTATGTATGTATGTATGTATATATGTATGTATGTATGTATGTATGTATGCATGCATGCATGCATGCATGCATGCATGTATGTATGTATGTATGTATGTATGTATGTATGTCTGTAGGCCGACAGGTATGTATGTATACACACATGTATGTATGTATGGATGCATACATGCATGTATGTATGTATGCATGCATGCATGCATGCATGTATTTATGTACGTGTAAATGCATGTATCAATGCATGCGTGCTTGTATGTATGCATGCATGAATGCAGGCATGCGCGCGTGCATGCATGCGTGCAATGTGGGTAACACGTCTAAATGTACGATGAGAGGGGGGGAGAGAGAGAGAGAGAGAGAGAGAGAGAGGAATAGGGGTAGAGATAGATATAGGCAAATCAGAAATAGCAGACATATGGAGGGATTGATATAACAAACAATACAAGGATACAGAGATAGAGAGAGAGAGGTGGAAAGAGAGACAGAGAGAGAGAGGTGGAGAGAGACGGACATACAGGGACAGCTTTGCAGAGAGTGAGAGACTGAGTGGCAAACTTAATCGATAAAGCGAAAAGGAGAGAGAGAGGGATGGAAAGAGAGAGAGAGAGAGATAGAGAGAGGTAGAGAGAGACAGAGAGGGACACCGAGAGAGAGAGAGAGAGAGAGAGAGATAGCGAGAGAGAGAGAGAGAGAACGAGGGGACGGAGATAGGGAAACGGAGGGAGAGCGTGAGAGAGAGAGAGAGCGCTGAGCATGAGCCGTCACGCATCTTGGGCATGCGCAGAGATCGTGAGTGAAGCTTCGCCGCAGGAAGACGCCTCGTGCGTCCGCGCGCCCCGGCGTACGACCGATCGGCAGCCGTGCGCCTTGCCGGGGGCGCCCCTGGGCCTTCGAGCGGCGCGTGGGCCATCTCGGCCTCGGTCAGACTGGCGTGCGCGGAGACGTCCGCCTATTAAGGCGGGCGTGTCCTTCTACAGGAGGACACTTCAGAAATAGTAAAACAAATAGCCGGGGGACGATGCGTGAGTATTTTGTTGAACATGATTTTTGAATATTCTGGGGGATTTTTTCATTGTTCGTCCTAAATTCGCCTGTAGGGGGGCATGCCCTTCCTAAGCCTATTTTGATTTCCCTGCTATCCCAGGATTGGTTTCTTGTCATTCGTGTGACGCTGCCTTCTTCCCTCCCACCTTCTCCTTTTTAGGATCTGCCACTCTCTCGCCTCCCTCGCACGCTCAGGCCCACTCATACCCAGACCCACTCGTACTCGGACTCACTCACACTCAGACTCAGACCCACAAGTATTCAGATTCATCCATACGCGGACCCACGCATAATCAGACTCAGTCGCGAGCAGACCCATCCACACCTAGACTCGTTCGCACTAGACTCACTCACACTCGGACTCACTCACACACAAGCCCACTCACACGCAGACCAATCACATGTACATCCCCACTCAGAGTCACTCACATTCAGCCTTGCTGACACTCAGACCACATCGCAGTCAGACTCACGCTCACTTTCAAACGCACCGACCACTCAGACTGAGCCTCGCGAGGATGTCTCGAGCGAGGCGCTGGTTTCAGCACCCCAAGGAGGAGCCACCAGGGGTGTCAGCATTTTTCCATTCGCGGCCATCTTGTGGGGATGTCTCAGGCGGTTTGGTCGTTTGGTGGCGCAGGCTCCCGTTCTTTGAAAGTCCCATGACCACCGCGACAGCAGGCGTGGGATCTGGACATCTACCAGGGTTGCTTGCATTGCTCAGTTCGCGGCCAGGCTGGGGATGAATCCTGCTGTTTGCTCGTTTGGTAGAGCCTCATACTCACCGCGATATCGCAGGCGTGGGATTCGGGCCCCCCAGGGAGGAGCCGCCAGTGGTGTTTGTATTTCTCCTTTCGTGGCCAGATCGTGGGGGTGTCTCAGGCGGTTCGCCTTTGTCGGCGCTTCGGACCCTATTCCTTTGCCAATGGTCACGTCCGTGTAGCAGGCATGGCTTTTGAGCCCCACATGGGGGAGCCGCCATGGGGTGTTACACTTGCCAATTCGCGCCCACATCGTGGGACCTCTCAGGCGAAACGCTGGTTTCGGCACCCTCGACCCCTTTCCTTTCGGAGTCCCCACAGGCCAGGATTTTCGGCCAGACGCTCACGAACGGAAGTGCCAGGAACTGAGATGCACACATGGGGATCTCCGCGCCGAAGAGCTCAATGCGCCGCCCCGGAGGTCCCGACCCCTCTCCCTGGGGCCAGTTTGCTTCCTGGATCCAGTTTCGATTGCCCCTGGGTCCCGATAGCGGGCCCTGAAGACCGAAATCGAGGAACAGCGCCTGGATTGAAGGCATCATATCGTCGGAGATTGCGAAGGCCTTAGGGCCGGTGCCGCCGACCCTGAAGGGAGACGGTGATGACGACGACGACGACGACGACGACGACGACGACGACGACGACGACGACGACGACGACGACGACGACGACGACGACGACGACGACGACGACGACGACGACGATGACGACGATGACGACGACGACGACGACGACGACGACGGCGCTGACGTGGGCCAGAGTCCTCTGGGATGCTTCTTGGGGTCTCTTCGAAAGTCTCTCGGGGGCCTCTGGGGAGGAATTTTGTGGCCTCTTGGAAGCCTCTTGGGGGCCTCTTGGGAGCAGTGCCCTGCCAGGGCCCAGGGCGGCCCCGGCCGGGCACGGCATCTTCCGCGCGCGCTGCCGCCGCCGCTCTGTTCTTGGGGAGCCCAGCTCGGCAGCCGGCGTCGGGCCGGGCGGCGCATGAGGGCCCACGCAGAGGAGACAAGCAGACCGCCATCGCGTGATCGTTTTCTTCTACATTGTCTTGCCGATGGGCGCGGCCCTCGCAAACCTCCTCCCCCCCTCTCCTATGGAGTAGATCTTGGCTGTTTTTTGGCGCCTTGTCGCATGAAGCAGAGGTCTGGAGCCGGACCCCCCCCCTCCCTCCCAATTTTCCGCCCAGTGTCGAAGCGCCGAGCAAGAGAACGTTCACCACCGAGAACCATCGGGGCGGGACTGACCCCTGGGCGGTGGCACGCCCGAGCGTCATCCCAGGGGTCGGCCCCTTACCGATGGGTTTTCGGTGTTCTCCCCTGACCCACGGGGAGGCTGGAGCCGAAGCGTTCTGGCACGTCCCGGCGTGACTGCACTCCCAGATCTCCGACGATGTGGCCTTTCCTGTCAATCCGCGACTTCTTCTCGATGTCGGCCCCACGGGGGGGGGGCAGTTTGGGGAGCCCTGGGCACCGCTGCTGTTGCCGTCCGCCTGCGCCCGCTGCCGCCTCCGCCCGCCCCCTCGGCTCGCGCCCGCGGGCGCGGGCCCTCAGGGGGAGGAGGAGAAGAGGGACCGACGACGGCGGCGGCGGCGGCGGCGGCAGGGAGGACGACGAGGACGACGGGGGGAGGCGAAGACGACGGCGGCGAGGGCGACGCGGCCGCGCCCGCGGGCCTTCAGGAGGAGGAAGAGAAGAGGAAGGCGGAGGGCGCGGCCTGCCAGACCATCAGGCACTTTGCGTCCGCCTCCAGTCCGCAACCGCTTGCGAATCCTACCCCTGCGGGCTCAATCGACGCTGGGGTGTCGGACGGCCCTGCAGGGGTTCGCACTGCTGTGGGCGTCCTTCGAATGTCGGCCCCGCGCCCGCGTTTTGGGGAAACTGGTCCGCAGGAATAGGGTTCACACGTGTCGGTTTGTCTCGGGAGAGGCAGGCGGCACAAGCACAAACTTTCGAGTGTCAGCGTGGATTTCTTGGGTCTGCGCTTTGGCGGTGCCTCCTGCGCCGCCCCCTCGCGCTATCCGTGCGCCAGGGACGGGTGCCCAGCGCCGATCGATAACGCCCTCGCGGACCTTCGAAAGTTTATGCTCATGCCGGTTCTTCTTTCTCTTCTTCATTTATCTTCGTGGTCTTTGCGTCGTCGTCGTCGCTGCCGTTGTGCCGTCGTCGTCGTCGTCGTCGTCGTCGTCGTCGTCGTCGTCGTCGTCGTCGTGGTCGTCGTCGTCGTCGTCGTCGTCGTCGTCGTTTCCGTTGCGTCGTCGTCGTCGTCGTCATCGTCGCCTCGGGGGATGCCAACCCGCCGTATTGATCCTGGCGGGGCCGACCCTAGTCCCAGGATCCCTGCGCACTTGTGCCCCCGTGGCCAAGGCACACTGATGGAGCTGGCCAGGTCTCGGCGGGATGGATCATCCCTCGCTGGCCGCTGAGAATGGAAGGGCGGCAGGAAGGGCGCAGGACGGATGATGACGACGACGACGATGATGATGATGGTTGTGGTGGTGGTGGTGGGGTAGTGATGACGATGATGATGATGATGATGATGATGATGATGACGATGATGATGACGATGACGATGACGATGACGATGACGATGACGATGATGATGATGATGATGATGATGATGATGATGATGATGATGATGATGATGATGATGAGGATGAGGATGAGGATGAGGATGAGGATGAGGATGAGGATGAGGATAAGGATGATGGTGATGATGGTGATGATGATGATGATGATGATGATGATGAGGATGAGGATGAGGATGAGGATGATGATGATGATGCTGATGATGATGATGATGATGATGATGCTGGTGATGGTGATGATGATGATGACGATGATGATGATGATGATGATGATGATGATGATGATGATGCTGATGATGCTGGTGATGGTGATGGGGAGGTTGATGGTGGTGATGACGACGACGCCGACGACGACGACGCTCGCCGCTGGGAAGGGAAGGGCGGCACGAAGGGCAGGGGGGAGGGGGCGGCGAGGGGCCGCGCGGGGCGGGGGCCTGGGCCGCCCGCACGTCAAAGGCTGCTCAAATGCTTCGCGGCCTATTTGTGTTTTTTCTCCTCCTTCCCCTTCCCTCTTCCTTCTCCTTTGTCCGCCTCGTCCCCTCTGCTCCTTCTCTGCCTCTTGTCGTTTGAGTTTACGTGGTGGCTCACGGAGCTTAGACACGTTCAGGTCTTCTCGATTTCATCCAGGTACGCTTCGTGTTCCTGGGCACGTCATTGGTTGTTAACTCGTCATTGCCACCGGTCCCGATTTGCGGGGGGTGGAAAAAAAAGGCTTCAGTCGGGCACGTCCCTCTGCAGGAGGAACAGATTCAGGAGTAGTCAGAGAAGGCTCTAGGGACGATGTGTGGACTGTTTTTGCCCCTTTCGGGGTACCTTTTGACTATTTCTCCTTCTTCTTCGTCCAACATCCGCCTTCAGGGGACATGCCCGACCTAAGGCTAGGATTTTTAGATGGGGTCCGAGTAGATGGGGTCGGAGGATCGCGCCGCATCGCCAGTGCATCGCCGATGCGGTTCGATGCGGAGCCCGTGTTTCCCCACGCTGGCGCCGCCGATGCATCGCCGATGCATCGCCGATGGATCGCCGATCTGTCGGCGATGCGTTGGCGATGCGGCGCGATCCTTCGACCCCATGTACTCGGACCGCATCTAGGAGGCCTCCAAATCCCTGATCGTCGTCTGTCATCGTGGACCGCCTTCTGAGAAGCCGTCTGGGCCTTCTCCGAAACCGCGGACGGAGGCGCGAGGGTTTGGGTCGGGCCTGTCCCTCTACAGGGGGAAGATTCAAAAATAGTAAAAAAATAGTCGGGAGATTGTTTTCGGAGTATTTATCAGCATTTTTTTGGGTATTTTTAGGACTATTTTTTAAGTTTTCGTCCACAGTCCGCCTGTAGGGGGACACGCCCGACCTAAGGCGACGGCTTTGGGGAGTCCCGCCGACCTTTCTGTGAGGAGGGCGCGCCGCCACTTCCTGGACCCACCTGGGATCTGGAGGCGCTGTTTGTTAGTCCCTGTGCTGTCTGAGGATGCAGCTCCTGTGATGTTAAATTCAATTCAGCATCGGCGCTGGTATATCTCAGAGCCTCGAATCATCAGGGGTAACTCGGGTCAGGGCTGCCTCGGGTTCGTTTTTCGGGAATCCGAGCCCGAGTTACCCCGGGCCCGAGTTACCATAGATAATTCGGGCAACTCGGGTCAGGGCTAACTCGGGTTCGTTTTTCGGGAATCCAAACCCGAGGTACACCGAGCCCGAGTTACCCCGGATTCCTCGGGCGCCCAAATCTCCGTGGTCGAAGGGGCCTCATCCGGCATAGTCCCACTTTCTCCGGCCTGGTCTGACTTCTCCTGTGGCTCTCCTCTCCTGCCTCTGCTCCGCTCGGTCCCTCCTGCTCCTGGCTCCCGCCCGTTCCCCCCCCCCCCTCCTGGGATTGCACCGCCCGATGCCCCAGGCGTCGGCCGCGCGCGCCCGCTCCGCCCGCCGTATGCGGCTCTGCGCCCGCGCTTTCGACTGACTCGCCGTCCTGCCGCGCAAGGGGCCGCTGAGGCAAAAGGAGGAGGAGGAGGAGCAGGAGGAGGAGGAAAAAGGAGCAGGGGGAGGAGGAGGACGAGGATGATGATGACGATGATGATGATGATGATGATGATGATGATGATGATGATGATGATGATGATGATGATGATGATGATGATGATGATGATGATGATGATGATGATGACGATGATGATGACGATGATGATGATGATGACGATGATGATGATGATGATGATGATGATGATGATGATGTGGATGCTGCTGATGATGATACTGCTGATGATGTTGCTGCTGAAGATGATGATATTGATGCTGAGGTTGATGATGATGATGAGGATGCTGGTGATGTGATGATGATGCTGATGGTGATGATGTTGATCATGCTGATGATGATTATGATGACGATGCTGATGACGGTGATCATGCTGCTGATGATGATGATGACGACAATGATGATGAGGGTGATGATGGGGAGGAGGAGGAGGAGGAGGAGGAGGAGGAGGAGGAGGAGGAGGAGGAGGAGGAGGAGGAGGAGGGGAAGGAGGACGAGGAAGAGAAGAGGACACGGCGAAGGAGGATGAATAGGAGGGGGAGGGACGAGGATGAGGAAGAGGAGGAGGAGGAGGAGGAGGACAAGAAGGACGCATTAACGATATTGCAATAAACCCTGTTCCAAGTTCCCCCTTCATAGGGGCCCATAGCAATGTCTGGTCATTGTGACGCCAACGCGGCGAATTGACGAGACTGGTGCGTCCTAGCAATCTTAGTCCATGGCAGAACACAATTCCTGGGTCTCCAACGCGTCCTGACAACCCTAAATCGTGCCAGAACAGTATCCCTCGAACTTCAACGATGCGAATCCTCGAAGCTGCTACAAACTTTACCAGCGACTGTGCGCGGCCGCTGAGATGAGGACCGCATTCTGAAAAGGAATCGCCCTCCATCCGTGAAGCTACTGCACATCTTTAAGACAAGTGCGTGCAGCGCTAAGGCGCGAGACACACATTGACAAGGACCCGTTCTGAAGAAATGTTTTTTTCAGGAAAAGGGAGGAGGGGGAGGGGGTAAACCAGGTGCGCTCGCGTCATATCTGACGTCTTACCCTCCCGCCCATCATTTATCATGGCGTAGATCTCTCTATTCGCACAGTCGGATGTCGTACATGGCGTAGCATTACATGGCCAAACATGGTGTTGAAGATCAGCGCGTAGCATGACATAACATGGCGTGGCGACGCCCCAAGGTAGGGGGGCTTCTGTGGGGCAGAAAGTCAACGAAGACACCGAATGTGTAATTACTTCCGATTTTTTTTTTTCGGGGGGCCATTTTCTGGATTTTGGGACTATTTGGAAGGACCGAAAACCATGCCGTAGCATGACACTGGAAATAATGACGCCAGCGCTGCAGCGGGAACGCGATTCGGAACAAGCGGGAGCGCGGAAAAGAGTCGAACGCTGCAGCGGGAACGCGGTTCGGAACGAGCGGAAACGCGGAAATGAGGCCAGCGCTGCAGCGGGAGCGTGATTCGGAACGAGCGGAAGCCCGAAAACGACCAGCGCGAAAACCCAAGTGAAAACTTATTTTTTGGGAATCCAGTGTGTGGAGGGGGGCTGGACATCTCCCGGACGTCATCAGGGAGAGGAGAGTAGTACTGTCAACCCGCGTAGTAAGGATGGGCAACCTTCCAGGGCAACCTTCCCAAGGGTACCCTTGCATCCTTGCCTTCTCGGCCCATCCTTGGCCGCTTTCGTCGGCCGCGGCCCGCTCGAAAAGCCTCGAAATGGGTGTCCAAGGCCCTTGCATCCTTATCGCGCATCCTTACTATACGTGTTGACTGTATTTACATTGTGTCATTGTAGAAGTGAAGAGGCCAATGGCGGCCTCCAGAAGCCCAGAAGAGGCCCAGACTGTATCGAAACTTCGAGCCTACAGCCTCTGCCGTCGAACCTCGATTGTCGAACCTCACTCCCCGAGCGCCGATCCTCGCACCTCTATCGTCGAACCTCGGGCCTCCAAGCCCAGATCTTCGATCCATCCTCGATCCTCAAGCCCGAAGTCTCCGATCCGCGAACCTCGAGCCCTGATCGTCGAACCCCGGGCGCAGAATCCCCGATCGTCGGTCCTGGAACTTCGGTCCTCGAACCCCGAGCGGGTCCCCGAACCTGGAGCCCAGAATCCCTGATCGTCGTGCCTCGGGTCTCGGTCGTCCTCGAACCCGAGCCCAGAATCTCCGATCGTCGTCCCTTGAACCTCGGTCCTCTTCGAATCCGAGCCCGGAATCCC